TACTGTGTCTCTAGCGCTAACTATTTAAGGACTCAGATGCTTCATCCATTAAGCAGAGAATACTGCATCTTCTTTTGCTACGTATCACTACCAATGTGTTACAAAAAAATGAAGACTACATCTTTTTTCCTATTAAACCCAAACTTTTGTTGCAAATCGCAAGTGTATTGCCCTAAATCAACCGATTCACAGAACTATCACAACTATGCTTGCCATCCTCCAGCAGCAAGGGTCAAGCACATCAAAGTTCCTACTCAAAACAAAATAAGATCACATGGTTTGCTAAGAAAGAAGTTTTCTTTTTGACTTCCTTGTAGTCATAAGTCAACAACACAAGTGCATGAGAGAGAGAGAGAGAGAGAGAGAGAGGGTTCATGTAATTAATTTTACTAGACCATCACACTTTATTTCTACCTCCTGCAATGTAGTGCGAGTGCAGAAGGAAATTTAAGATATACAATTTAGAGTACATATGGCTAAAAGAAGAGCGCGAAAATCACTACCTGAAGAGAACGACATCCCATAAGAAAGAATTGGCTTATTATCGTTGGCTAACAGTTTGCAGAAGTAGGTATAACAATAATGCTGGAAATGATAATGTAGTGACAAGATGAACAAATTAAGCCGGCAAGGAGGACTGAAATGAAATGAGTTTTGATTAATTAATTATTCATATTAATACCAAGGAGAGGATCTTCCATCAAAGAAAAAATTCTAAAAGAATATCTTGTATGAAACTCATTGCTCCACTCTTAACTCTAATCCATGGATATGAGCCATGAGTGATCAACTACTACATTTTGAGGGAGGGTAAATTGTGGGTGTGACGGTCACAATTTCACGTGGTGATATTATTAATCCACAAGTTACAACATAGATTGTGATATAAAATCTCTATATTAATCAATGATACAGAATTATCCTTTTGGTGAACAACAAACTAGAAAAGAACTGAATAGCAGTAGAACGTCGCAATCATAAAATTGATCCATCAAAGAAAAGATCGATAACTCCCAAATTAGCCTCACAAGGAATAAAGGTATTTTATTGAAGCGTAGTTAGGTCCATCAATACAATCGTGCTATACATGATACATGTTTGGTACAGCAAAAAACAAACAAAAAAATAAAGACACAAACAAGATAAATAGAATACAAGTTCAACCGCCAAAAAGAAAAGAACAAAGAGGAACTGACCTCAAAAATAACATAGAGGTCTATTAAAATCGAAGTGCGATCATTGTTGAACAGCAAACCCACCTTAGTAACGATGTGGACGAAATAGGACGATCGCGGTTACTTGATCAGCAGCCTACTGATGATTGCAACATTTTGGTCACAATAACCTTTTTATCAAAGACCAATGGAAGTGCAACTCTTTCTACTTTATAGATGTATAAACCAACTGCTAATGCTGCTTTTCATATCAAGCATACTCTGGATTGAGTGCTATAGCCTCTCTGTAAATCATATCTTTCATTTGCTCTTCTCCCAAGGGTTGTTGCTCGAAATCAAAGGAGAACGGCTTAGTGCAGATTGGTTCATCAGCTATGTCATGTAGTCTTTCCAGGTAAGGATGGGCTAATGCTTGTTCTACTGCAGAAGCACAAGTTGCACAATTAAAACTCACATTCAGGACCTCAATGCAGCAAACATTCTATATATATTTTTGTCGGAACCACCAAAACATTGACATGGGAATAGAAATTACCAGTTATCCTTTTAGTAGGATCAAACGTCAACATTCTGTCAATGAGATTAATGGCCATGGGATTAACATGTGGGAAAAGCCTCTCCAATGGCTGACGGGGAAGCGGGGCGAGCTGCCTTATATATCTTCTAGCATCCTCATTCCGAACGAACCCAAGATCAGACTCAGTTGGTGTTCCAAGAAGCTATAATAGAAAATAAAAAGTATGTATTAGTATTCATCCAGCAGATATTGCTTTCCAAAAATAGCTAAATAATTTAGTCATGTACGAACATGGATGAAAGCGGAAAGTAGAACTCAACTACTATAGATACGTAGATGATTTCAATGAAGCATTCAATACTGCAACATCATGGGTTTTATTGCTATGTACTTAATGCACGTGCGGCAGCCACTCTAAAAACTTCATTGTGACAAATGTCGAATGAGTACTTTAAGTGACATTTCATTTCTTCTAAACTGTGATTGTTAAATAATGCAGTCAAAGACTCAAAGTCGGGTCATGTCGAATTCAAATTTTATTTCTAATTGTCTGTAATTCACCTTACCTCTGTCAATAGGCGCATCTGATGCACATGATCTTTGCCTGGAAACAAAGGCTTCCTATTCATAAGCTCCATAAAGATGCAACCCACAGACCACACGTCGATTGCAGCAGTATAGTCTGAAGAGCTCAACAGAAGCTCAGGTGCCCTGTACCATCTGGTGACAACATACTCTGTCAATAACTCGTTTTCTGCAGTCGGACGAGCAAGGCCAAAATCACATATCTTAAGATCGCAATTGGCATTCAACACGAGGTTGCTAGGCTTCAAGTCTCTGTGAATAACATTCGCCGAGTGTATGTATTTCAGCCCTCGCAGAATCTGATACAAGAAGTACTGCAAAGCATTGCAGCATACACCAATCAGTCCTCAAATAATACAACCATTTATTTCACTCACTACCAATGGAACTTGGTTGATGAAATCAAAAAGTAAACACTAGCAAGTACCTGACAATGCTCCTCCGATAAACCCTGATTCGAGCGAATAATTTGATGCAGGTCGGTATCCATGAGTTCCATGGCAATGTACACATCTGAAAATTCTCTCCTTAGAGGTGGAGGAATCACATCCTTGATAGCTATGACCTGTTTGACAATCGTAAAGTTTCTACTTTTAGCAAGTAATTCTTACAAAATTCTCCAAATCTTTACAAAACCTTCTACTTCAGCTAATGAATTAAATACAGTAATTCTCCCTATTTAGAATCTCTAACCAACAAATGTAAAACTAGAAATAATAAAAATCTAAAGAAGGCAACTTTCTTATTAATACAAGAAATTAGAAGTAAATCCAATCAATTAGCATTAATTATAAAGCAATTTAATCTCACATTTTCGTGATCCAAATGGCGAAGCAGCTTAATCTCGCGGAGCGTGCGCTTGGCGTCCATGTGATTGTCGAAAGCGTTGGCGATTTTCTTGATCGCCACCATCTCCTTCGTCTCCGAATTCAAAACCGAGCTGGAAAGAAACTCCGATGATCAAAAACATAAATCGCAAAAAAAATAAAACGAGAAGAAGAAATCGATTCCGGGAAAAACGACGTACCAGAGGATGCCGTATGCGCCGCGGCCGATCGGCATGATCGGAGGGCGGTACTTGTTGGTGATCTCGAAGAGATTGCCGAAGATGTTGTACTGGATGTACTGGCCGCCGTGGGACGGGACCGCCGCGAAATCGCCGTTAGTGGGAACGAGGTCTGCCATTTCGAAATACTCTGGGAGTCCCAGACACGACTTTCTCTCTCCAGGAGTCTTCAGTTTCTCCCTCTACAAATTTTCTGCTGATGTGTTGATTCGGCGGTGGAGGAGTTGACGAAGAAGAGAGAGGAGCGCTATTTAAAGCTGGTTGAAGGAAGAAGAAGAAGAAGAAGGCGACGTGAATGCGCGCCAGAGAGAATTGTGAGGACGCGTTTGGGGGAAAGGATCGGAGGGCTAGGATTTCGGCCGCCTCTGATGGACGGATGAGAATCGTTCAAAGTTTTCAACTGCCATCATTTTGGAGTATTTCAAGGGACCGTCTGCGTTTGTGGATTTGGGTTTGTGTTTTTTTTTCAAGTACAGAGAAATAGTTGTTTGAATTTCTTTTTTAATGCAAGAGATGTTATTATTTCTTTTACAGCTTACGTCAAGTGAAGAAATGTTTGAACTCAGGATGTATGGGTTAAAGAAGACGTTAATTAACCGCTTTGATCCAAACAAAGTAATTGGTTCACAATTGATCTCAAAAAGAAAATTTTCATGAGTAAATCCGAGAATTGTGTAGTATACATGTATGATGGAGAAACAAATTAGAGAACAATTAATATGAGTAGAAAGCATGAAATAGAATCTCAACTCTCAATTTTTCTTGGGGGCTTTATAGTTCAGTTCCTTTTAGTGAAGCCTTACGACCCCAATGTGTGATTATGTTTTCTTAATAGCAAGGTTCTAAAAAACACTAGACACTAGTCGATTGGCAGGCTAGGACCTAATGCTAGGCGGCTAGATAGTGCCTAGGCAGCTAGGCGGATTAGGCAGACTTAAATAAATTTATTATATGTTAGATGTCCATTTATACTTTAAAAAACACATAATTGTATTAAATACATAAATTGCAAAAGAAAAAGACATATAGATTATAAAGTATTAGAACATGTTGAAACATAGAGAACAAGCATATAATGAGTATTCGTCCAAGTATTCAACAAGTCTCTTACATTTTATTGACAAAATAAAATGCACAATGAAAGTTATCAATTTTCTACCTAAGTGAAGGTTGTGACTTAAACGGATGCCTAGGCGGGTTTAGACGGGCGCCGAGACAAGCTAGTGTCCACCTAAGCGGGTCTAGGCTGGCGCCGAGACAAGCTAGCGTCCACCGAAGCGGGTCTAGGCGCATTATCTAAATTTTCAAATGCCAAGAGACTCATAAAGACGATAGTCAATCACCTAGCGCCTAGGCAGGCAAAGGCGGCGCTAGTCGGAAATTTTTAGAACAATGTCTAATAGTAAAGATTTACATACTCTCTCCATTATGTTAGATAACCACAAATTTTCTTAAACTTAAAAATAGAGATGCGTGGTCTAGGGTTCATTACTTAAAGTTTAGAAATAACATAATAATTAGTTAGAATTTAGAAGCCTAGTAAAGAAAAATTAGTATAAATAATTACCTTTACACGGTTTTAAACTTTTAGGGTGTGTTTGTTTGGGCTCACTAAGTTTCATTGGACTGGACTGGACTATAGTCCAGTGTTTGTTTGGTGCGGGGATTAAGTTTAATGGGATTAGCCGGTACTCGCTCCGACTAACCCCTTCTCTAAACATTCTTAGCGAGAACCCCCAATTCTCACGGGATTGCTAAGCCTGTCTTCGAGAGTGTTGCTCGCTCCTCATTCTTGGTCGTCCTCCTCTCCGGTCCTCCTCGCTGGTCCTTCTCGCTGGTCCTGCTCATCTTCATCTGGTAAATTCCAAATTCGATGACCTATTTCTATGATTTTGTTTTGTAGATTGTGAAATCATTATTGGGTTCTGATTGATTTTGTTGGTTGGGTTCGAAATTATTAATGGGTTATGATTGATTCCTCGTATAATCCTTCTAGTTGTTATGCTTATATATACCTTCTAGTTGTTTGGCTTGGGTTTTTGACGGGTCGGGGTAGTGCTGGTAACCCCAATGATTAGTGTGTGTGTGTGTGTGTAACTTTCATTTGAAGTGTTGAACCTCGTTGCTTGCTGCTACATACCCATGTGATTTTTTATATGTATAACATCGATCAACTTCCTGACTTTGGTTCTTGCCTTGATCCAGTTCAATTTGAAGAACCTTTGAATCGTGTTAGGACATCCATCTTTGCTTGTCCAGTGGTGAGATGCTATTTTCATTTATTTTCTCCTTTTATTTTCGCTGCAAGTTTTTACTACCTTATGCTTGCTTTTGTCATTATGGAGAAAATCGGCTCGTCTTTGTCTTTGTCTTGTGGGTATAATCTATATACATATGATATATATTTTGTTTCTTGAGTTTGAATGCATGTTATTATACTCACTCTCTGCACTTTTTCCTGTGTGTAGCCAATGGAAAGAATATATCAATCCAATCCTTCCAAGTTCGAATACTTGTACAGTTTGGTGAACCATGATGTCAAAACAAATACTCTTTTCAAGAGTACCTCCGTTTCTCTTGTTTGGCTCACAAGGTACACGATAGAATCATAAACTCAGATTATTTTCTTTTGGCTTTAGAACCACCTCTGCACTTTGTCAAAATGCGATACATCACATTTTTCATACTACTCTTGATTTATTTTCAGATACATGGATTTTTTGGTAGAGCTATTTCGGAACTTACGGGAGCATCCTCTAGATTGGGTTACGATTCGAGCTGTTTATAATGCCTATGCCAAGACCCTGATAAAATGGCATGATGAAAAAATTATACTGACTTTGATTCCCCTTCATTTATTTGGTGACCTAGGATTATTCGTACTAATCTTTCCCTTTGAATGTCCTATTTCTATGCTTCACTAGTGACAATTATATTCTGCAAGTTGCCGGCTTTGCCTAGTTGCTTTGTAATTACTTCGCCCGGCAACACTTTAGTGTATTTCCATGTTCTCCATATACTCAAACTAGTTTTCTTTCTTTTTAGTATATAGTACAGAACTCATATGAAAGCATGAAGCTATTACACTTATTAAACACGAAAGCATTTCTGTGTTTTCCCATGTTCGAGAAATGCCTTGCTTCTTAGTATAGTCTTACTGCTTCAACAGAGGAAATTTCGGAAAACTCCCAGCAACTTATCATTGGTTGTTCTCTATGATTTATTGTTTTACTACTCTCTTAAGTGAAATTTTATTGGTTAGAAAATTTAACTTAATTGTTCACTGGAATGATAGCTTGGAAGCAAATATGCTCCTGAAAAAGACTTGTTGTTGAAGGTGATCGGAGGCAATGGTGATGTCATGGGAGACATGGAGAAATTTTGCACTTCTTTACTCCTCTACTTAAACAGAATCACGAGTTTTTGGTAAGTTATTTTTTTCAGTTGCATAATTTACTAGGCTCCTTACTCTTAATAATCTTTTCTCAGCTGGTAGGAGCCAATAAATCCTTCCTTCCGTGTCGAGGTTCTCTGAAGAAAGGGGAAGTTTAAAATAGAAAAAAGAGGCAATGAATTATTAAATCATTTGTTATTGTAAAATGTTAAAATATTTGCTCATGAACTTTACACTTTTGAGATAGGCTGGAATGGATGATTTTAAGTTATTTCGTGCTAGCCTTGTAGCAAAGGTACCAAGTACATACCCAAAACAAAGAAAGATGGGGAAGACTATGTTTGCTCCTGCTTTGGAAGAATTGGAGAGTGTCAAGTCTGAATCAAAAGAGATTATGACGAAGCATTTCTTGGAATCGTGCAATAAGATTTTGCCTATTATAGGTTCATTCATTTCTCTCATTTATTTCATCCCGTGAATAGTGGCTTTAATTTGTTTGATTCCAAGCTTTGAACCTTTTTTTAAGTTTTCAAGAAGGCACACACCTGAGACTTGGCGTTTATAACGATTGTTAAGCATAAAGCTACATGACCATTTGTTATTTATTTGTACAATATGAGCTTTATGATTTGGTTCTGGGCTTGATGCAGCTGAATTTGGAAATGTTGTGTATCCTGTTACTTTTGACATCCGTACTTGTGTAGTGGTAAGATGTTATTTTCATGTATTTTCCCTTTTCCCTTTCATTTTCTGCTTTGAGTCTCATACTTTCTACTTTTGTAATTTTGCCTTAATTAGAACGCTTTGCATTGTCCAGCTTGGACATGGCAATGCTAATCTAAACTCTTTGCATCCGTATGCTCAGAACATCTTATGGTTATTATGCATGTGAAGTCAGGTCGTATGTTTTGTTTATTAAGTTTGAATGCATGCTAGTGTTCTCACTCTATCCAATTTTGGCTTTGCATAGAGATTGCAGTATAGATATTCATCGGAGGCAATGGTGATGTCACAGGAGTTCTAGCTGGCGATGCCCATGTGGCTCTCAGTGTTGGTGTTGATGGCCACGACTTGCGTGTAGCAGACATGGGTGATGTTCTAGGTGAAGCTTTCACTTTCTATGTATTTAACAAGGACTTTTGTTGGTTTACATGGAAATGACTCATTAGCATTCCTGAATTATGTGAGACGGGAGTTGTTGTTGTGCTAAACTTGGGGAATCTTGAATGCCATACACTTAGTTTTGAGACTCAATTCAGCTCATAACAACAAGACTTCCGAAGACATCCTTTAACAACATTTTTGCATCAAGTTTATTGTTTTATTTCTTATTGTAACATTTGCTTGTAGAATATCTTATATATGTTCACACATGGCTTTTGGTGCAATATTTATTGTATTTATTTTCAAGTAGGCCTTCAAGTTTCAAACATTGGGTGTAAAATTTATCAATTGATACAATTTTTCACAGCGTGGTATTCAACATTATTTAGGCATTATATTTTCTTTAGTTAAAAAAAAAAAGATCCATTTTTCACATATTTATGTTATTCTGCTTCTTAGTCCGATACTGCACCAAACGCTTCACTAAGCTAGTCCAGCTTAGTCTAGTCTAAGCCAGTCCAACTTAGTCCCTGCAGCTAGTCTAGTTCGAGACAGTCCGATGCAACAAACGCACCCTTAGCATTCAACATTCAAGCATTAACCACTTATTTGGGTCAACTACAAACGTAGGTACCTCATAATTCTAACTATTCATCATCTTTTAGATCATGATCGTTCAAATTAAGATAGTTTTTACAAAAAAAAAAAAAAAAAAAAAAAAAAATCACTTAGATTAAAATCGTTGAATTATCAAAATATATTTATGGAAATTTGAGTCATCTACAGGACTACAATGATGCTCGAAATATAATAATTTGTGGAAATTTTTGCATCAACAGTCTTTAAATTTAGATTCAAAATTTGAAGCGTTTAGTAGATGGCGTTATTTTTATCCTACTCCAAGTAATTTTTCTTCAAAAAAGTATTTTTACCGAGACTCACTGCAACGGCGTCTTATGTGTAGCTTGATGTTTTAGAACTATTTTAAAGAATGTTTAGTTTTTGAAGAATTTTTGTATGTTGGGAGAGAGAGATTGAAGACGTTGGTGCATTTCTTCTGTCTTTATTTTGATTAATTTATAAAATAATATCTCCTAAAAAAACAAGTCAACTTTTAAGAAGAGGAAAGAAAGATAAACAAATCACTTGCTTACTTGTCCATTGGCATTGACAAGAACGGGATAAGAGTTTTACTGAAATGAGCCAAGCCACGTGTAACCACACAAGGACAAGATTCGAAAGATGACAACGAAAGAATTTGCGTGTTGTGCGTAAGGAAAACAATCTCTCACAAGAAAGTCAACTTTTAAGAACACGTTTTTCAGCCAATTATTCCCGAAGGCCCCCCCCTCTCCATTCCGGACTTGGATTCTCTGCCCTCCCATTTCGGTGCCCTCCCCGTGCCCTCCTGTTTTATGTGGTCACGGTTAAGCCACGTTAATATTTTATATTATTTTTTTATAAAAATAATAAAATAAAAAGAAATATTAATATAAAATGTTGACGTGGCTTAACCGTGACCACAAAAATAGGAGGGCACAGGGAGGGTACCAAAATTGGAGGGCAGAGAATCCAAGTCCCTCCATTCCACGTACCACAAGTGAGATTTATTATTAGAGGATAGCTCATTGGACGTATGTGATTTATTATTAGAGGATAGCTTATTGTACCCTTTTATGATAAATCTCATTTTAATTAATTTTTAGACAACAGAAATAGTGATGGTGAACTATTCTGAACTTAAAAGTTTATCATTTATAAAAACCGACTTTCTTGGAAGATTTTAGGATTTTGGTTTTGGTAAACTTGTTGGACTAGGGTTTGCAGAATTCTTCATTCAAGGAAGTTGATTTCATGAGGAAACTTCTTACCCATATTCCCATGTCACTACTACTAATCACATAGAAAATTAGGTTAGAAGAAGTGTAAGCAAACAGATTTGGTCAAAGTAATTTGGTTTTTTTTTTTTTTTATATTATCTGGTATAAAAAGGAATGGAAAAGGAGGAATGAATTTATTTTTTCTTTTCCCTTTATTTTATTTAAAAAAAAAATCAATTATCAGATTCATACCAAGCATGTAGCATCATTTTTTTTTTCTTATTTTTTTGTTTTTTTTGGGGGGAAGATATGCAGATCATGAAGCTACATGCTTAAATTCATGGTGAGTAATTTACTTTGGCTTGATTTGTACTTTAATTAGATTTTTTTTAGTACAACGATATATTTTACACTAAGGAGAGGGGGAGTTCGGCTAAATCCACAATGGACAACCTAATTTGGTATCGAATTCGCCATCTATGAGATCTAAGACTCTCACTTACATGTGGAAATGAATACTACTAGACCATAGTACTAAGAGGTACTTTAATTATATTTTTAGGGGTTGGGGTTTGGATTTGGATCCTCTCCTGAGCCCAAGGAGAAGATCCTCCTGACCAAGAACTGTGGGCCGTTAGATGAAAATCCAATAATTAATATAACTTTAAAGGAATCTATTTGTAGCCGTTGGATAAAAATCCAACAGCCCACAATCCTTGGTCAGGAGGATCCTCTCCTTGGGCTCAAGAGATGATCCAAATCCTTGGGGTTCTATCTTTAGATAAGGCAAATGGTAGGAATTAGGCAAGCATTGGCACTTTTCCAAGCATAAAAGTCAAAGTGTTTTCAAACTCTCTTTCTAAATCCATTTTAAAAAACTTGACCATTTGAACAAAGAGGTCATTGTGATATTCCCTTCTATTTGATTTAAAAAGTCTCAATCAATTATAGTCTATATTGAAGACTCAAGCTAGCTAGCTAGACTTGGTCTAATGATGGTATTCTCTGGACAAAGATTGTCTGCCCTCTCACTTCCGGTGTCCTCCCGTGCCCTTTTGTTTTGTGTGATCATGGTTAAGCCACGTCAACATTTTATATTATTTTTTTTATAAAGATAATAAGACAAAAATGAATACTAATATAAAATGTTGATGTGGCTTAACTGTGACCATACAAACAGGAGGGCATGAGAGGGCATCGGAAGTGGGAGGGCAGTCATTAAAAGACCTAAAATGATTTGAATACATACTAGGGAATTCATTACAACACTAGATCTATTAAGTAGAAAACAAAATTAAAGGAATTGGGCAAGATTAAACCTTGTCCGGCAAGGCTGGACCTTTCGCAGTTTCTTTTCTTTGCCATTACAGGGTCTGAGGGTTTCAAGGGAGAATAGATGACAAATAAAGTTACAAGAGAAATTGATACTACTTGGTGAGCAGGTGAACTATTAAACTAGATAAAAGATGGCTTTTGTGAGGGCTGATCTTGAAAAATGATTGAGATGGGGGGCTGACTATAGCTTCGTATGCAAATCTAGCTTGAGCAAAGTTTGTGTATTTGTTTGTTTGATTGATTGAGTGTCTTTGTCTTTGGACCCTCTTCCTCCTTTTATAGGTGAAATAGCCTAACTGCTTGCAGCTTGGTTCCTGCCCGAAAGCAACTGAGGGGTAGTGACTTATCAATAATTTACATACTCTGCCATCCAAAAAGTGATTTTGGGCTGAGAGTATGTTGATTTCCATCAAGTGTCACTTCTTTCAAGCCACTAGCCTTTGCATTAATTAAATGGATGAGTACTTCATAAATGTTGAAATGAATATTTGGGCTTAGGTAATGGGCTTCGGGCAAAACCTCCTTCTTTGTTCTTGTTGGGCTTCTCTTCCTGTTAGTCCATCAATCTAAACAATACTCTAAAATAACTGAAGGCTAGAATCAGCTAGCCATGTCGGTTGCTCCACATAACAAGAATTTTTCATCACGTGGTATATTAACATGGAGTTAAAATTAACTAAAATTACAGTACATTTACAATTACTAATATAGAATCCTGAACTCTAAATTACAATTTCGTATGTAATAATTTAAGTGAATTCGTAACTTTACATCAGCATATCACATGGTATTATCAATATGCTCATGTAACCATTACCTAGAGTGAAAACAAAGTTTTACACCACATATGAAGAAAACTTGAAACTGTTTTGCTCTTATAATTTAGAAGAGATCATCTTTGCCAGATTCTCTTTGTGAGGATTCTGAGGATCCTTTAATCACATTCGTTCATTATATATCGTGCTACCAGTTTTTATCAGGTACTGTTTATATTCAATTTTAGATAAAAAAAATTTACAATAATTTATATCCGCACAATGTACGATGAACGGATGTGATTGAAGGATCCCCATAATCTTCACAAAGAGAATCCAACGAGGATCCTCTGGATAATTTAGGGCTTTATTTGACTCCTAGTTAGGTTGAGATCGATGCTTAAAAGTGGCACGTAGCCTCAGAAATCTTTCTTCAGTCAAGATTGAAATAAACGCAGAAAACGGGGAAAGTTGACCTTGACATTTATGCATGCAAGTCGATGAGGTATTTTCTGAGATGGATCCAAGCAAGCATGCATGGAGTTTGTATCGATCAACGATTGCGACTCCCCTCCATACACACACAACTTTTTATGGTGTTCGGATACTCTGGACTTTTGAACAGTTAAATTTTTAGGATAATTACTAGTTACTATGAATGGTGTTAAGAGATAAAAATATACGACAATACTATTCTTACCGTATTTGTATCATCCCTCGAATATAAATGAAATTGACATGTGTTTGTTGACTCTACTTTTATTAGAAAGGTTGTACAAATGTGGTATAAAAATAGCATTACTAAAAAATATATGCAATTCCTTGATATATCCAAGAATGAATATGTATTAATTCTTCTCTTATATATTCAATATTCCCTGATTCACCAACTTTACTATTTAGGTATACCAATGAGACTATAACTTTATCACTTAATACTACGATTTAGTAATATTTCTCTTCACTTGTAAGTGAAGTCTTGAGTTCAAATGAAAACTAATGAAAATGGCTTGAAAACTTTGAGTTTTAACGAAAATGACTAAAGGGTAAAGTGAATAGTATCATGATTGACTTTTTAATGTAAAAATATTGTTTTTTTGTTAAAGTTCGCTTAATTAAATTAATAGATTAGTCATTGTTTATTATCCTAAGAGATTCCTTTTCT